ATGTTTCTTCAAAATTCTTAATGGGATTTTGGTAGCTTGAAGTAATTTAAGACAAATGGAAAAACTTTGTGATGCAAAACTTATATGAAAAAAATGTGTAAGGGAGCTTTGCAAATTAAGGGTGTCTCATTAAGGCATCTGTTTATTAAGAATCGGAACAGAAGAATAACTTCTGGTTTAAGTCATTTGTTTTTACTTGGTTAAGTTAGTTCCAGATTGGGTGCAGGACAGTAGCAGACATATCTTTCATGTTAAGGTGGCTAATGAGAGAGATTACACTAATTACAACTGAAGAACAATGAGGATAAGTAGAAGAGTTAGGACTATGAAATCTGTATCTAGCAGAGTTGTGTGAATGCTTGTGTTTGAGACACTGGATACACGGTTAATTGTACCGCGAGTAAATCACCAAGACTTCGGTAATGCCGTACAGACACGGAAAGCAGTGTGACCCCTTCACTAAGGAGTTGTCTTTGGGATGCCGTATTGTCTGAAAACAAAATAAAACCATAGCAATGCTGAATGATCCCACTTGATTTGTCAGGAGCAACACATCGTGGCCATGAGCAGGTTTCATGGTCTGCAGGTGCGTCAATGTGGTGATATCTGTAAGTTCAGAGAAGTTCAGTGTCGATGCAGAGTGCACCGGCGTCTAGCAGTCCCAGCTTCCCTGTGAAGAGCTTTATCTCCCTGTTTCATCTTGAAATTCAGAAACACAATTGTGCAGCCTTCTGTCTGACTGCAGTCCATGAGACAATACCACGTACAGAACAGCACAGAGGAACAGCCCACTTCTGCAAACCTGAATGCAGCATCCAGGTGGTTTGTAGGGCAGCAGGTATCAGACTTCAATTAAAGCTGAAATTTCTTAGTGCATAAAGTGACAGATTCCAAAATAAAACTACAGACTTTGCTTTTATCTTTTCGAACGTAACTGGACATAGCTGAAATGGAAAGAGGCAATGTTCAGATAAAACTACATATCGCATCTTCCCTGATGTAGGCGGCCAGATTTATGGTGCTTACTAAATGTGGAGATAAAACCATTGATTTTATTGACAATATTTTGATTTTAGCCAGGTGTAGTAGAAATTAGACTGACCAAGCATCCCTAAAACAGGCTGTTCCTGCTACTGGAGTAGCACGCCAGCAGTTTCGGGCAACCAGCTGTCGTTCTGGCAGGGGAGAATGGGAGCAGACCAAGGAGGTCTTCGTGGGCAAGCTGGAGAGAGATATTTATGGAGGGGAAGGGTCTCATTCAGCCTCTGGGAGGAACTTGGTACCCTGAGCAACAGCTCATGAAAGCACTTGACCTGGAAAAATAAGATGGATAAAGGGAGGACTGCTCTCCAACCGGTGTCTCACTGCGGCTCCCTCCATATAGCTCTGGTGATATTTTAAAGATGAAGAGTGTGCTAAGGAGGGAGGATTCCTAGTGTCTCATTTCTGTTATCTCAGGATAGCGCCAGTGGTATTATCAAGACAAATAGTATGCCAAAACTTAAAAGTGAACATATGTTGATGGGGGTGGTGGGGAATACAGAGGTCACTGTTGTTTCTCTCTAGTCAGAGAAGACATAATGGGGCCTGGTTTAGATAAATTAAGTTTTGGAGCTAAGCTCACGTCAAGACTACACTAGTGTAATTATAAGTTGTCTTCTTTCAGTGTCCCTGAAGTTTTTAGAGTCAAATAAAAATGTTCAGCAAGAGTTTTATAATGTAGTTCAACTGTTCTAATGTGAGCTGATTGCAGCTCATCCTTGTTGTCTCCCAAACCAATCTTACTTTGATTTGAACAATTTTCAGTGAACTTCCAAATACATCCATGTCATTTCAGTGCTCTGTTTCCTCTATCTCTGGACTTCATTTATATTTTGCTATTTTTGATGTCTTTTTCATCCCATATTTCCTTATTTTCTTACGCAGCTGGAAGCTGGCATACTTACTTATTTTTTTATTCCAGTTAAAGTTATCATAGTGCTTTTTCTAAATTTTATTTTAAGATATAAAATAGTTGTGGTGCTCATTTTTAATAGAACTTTAAACTGGACAGATTTTTTTTTTAAAACAAGTAAAACATTAAAAAAAAAAATCTTTCTGCCTGGTGGGACTGTTTGGAATTCTGGTTCTGAATTTAGGGGGAAAAAAAAGGTGTGAAAGTTCCTGTGATTTACAAACTGCTTCCATCAGAAAGTCTCTGATCTCCTTGGAAGATGTTGTTTCAATTCTGTTTTCTGTTTCAATCACTATATAACTGGCAAGGAGTGAATAAACCATACCTTTTGTGATACTCAGGGAGAATATAAGCACAAATGCCCTTTATTAAAATGTGAAAAAACTGTAATAGGAAAACAGCTCCATCCTGTTATTTCACAGAAATGTAAGCATGTTAAATGCTTTGGTTTTTGTAAAAGAGGCAAATGAATTTTTCAAAATACAGTACAGAATCAGTTCTGTAATGCTAATTGTATTTAATAATAGTAATTTAAATTTGGCTGTACTGTGCCAAGCAGCAGCGAGAGAAAATTGTATGTGGGAATGTTAAAATCCAGAAGTCTAACATATGGTGTGCTTTGGCCTTCAAAGTCTGTCTTTATGTACCCATGAAATATCTCAGCTGCAGAAGTCTCTCTGACAGCTGCCCCCTCTTTTCTCCCCTGTTCACAAGCGGTGTCCGATACTCCCAAGCATTGATTTACACGACCCCGTGTCTCTCTGCCTTTGGCAGTTTGTTCCATAGTCTAATTTCAAATACTCTGTGTGTGAAAATGTTCTAGCCGAATTACTTATGTTTGCATTCCCTAATGAGCATCAGTCCATCTGTGATTGCCTGAATTCAAATTAATAAATGGGTTATTCACAAACATCAATCCCTTGCTATCCAGCACGTCACATGCCCTGCGAGATTCCGGTACCTTTCTGTGGGGTTTATTGGTAAACTCTAAAAGCCAAGTATGGTCAGCATTTCTCAAGAATTTCTATCTGCTCTCCACATCCTTCATCATTTTGGCCTCTGCTGCTTGCCTATCATCTTCCCTACAAAAAAACAATTGATAAGAATAATTGCAAATAGGTCAGGTTTCAACGATGCTACACCTCCACTAAGTTACATAAACTAATCCAGATTTGGGGGGGTGTAAGCAAATAGAACTTTGTTTTGTTTCGCTAAATACAGACTTAGATTGTGTTAAAATAACTCGTCTCTTTACAACCTCTCGCCATATCTCAAGATTTCGTTGCTGCTGCCAAATGCTGTGCAGATGCTTTCTGTGTCCTTATTTTCCTCCTTGACCCCCTCCCCTCGAGTATTTTCTTGGTTTATACGTTGTGCATTGTGCTTCTGTGTAATTTCTACAATTGTCCTTGTCCTTTGGTTTTCTGGCCTTAATCCCCTCCGTAATGATCTCTACAAGTCACTTATCAGCCATAAGACTAATCTATACGGGTCACGTGGCGTTCCTGCGCTCTGCTCCTGTGCGCTTTGCCTCTGACTCCCTCCATTATTTTAATCATCTGCATTGTAGGCTTTTTTTTCTAAAAAAAAAAAAAATATAAATAAATAAAAAATCTTTCCCTTTGCAAAGTCGTTTTGTACAAAGTAAACAGAAGTGGCACCAAATCCGACCCCATAGCACCCTCCTGCTTATCTCTCCTCCTCCCTGCGCCGCTTCCTTTCCTTGGCACCCTCAGCTTCCTGTGCCCCAGCGCTCTGCAAACCGCGGCAGCCGGGTCCTGCAAATCTCCCTCCCGTATAATAAAATATCAAATACTTTTCCTGAAATACAGATAGAGCAAACTCTGTCCATTGTTTCTACCTTATCTACCAAATCAATAACGTAGTGAAAGAATTCAAGGACGTTTTTCAGACGGGACCTTCCTTTTTTAGTACATGTTGACGTACACACCTTTAAATGGTTTCATAATATTCACTGTTTTGCAAATACACAGAAGAATTGATAACAGGCCTTTGTATCTGTAGTTCTTCAGATCCTTCCTTGCTTTTTATGAAAATATGGGAACGATAATCTCCATACTTTTGGTTTCCTGATTTTGGTGAGCTGCTGCAGAACTGTGTCAGGCTTTCCTGTTTCCCTTTCTCTCTCTCTCCGCTTTGGAGTATTACTTCAATGGACCTGCTCTTGGGTTGGTTTGGTTGGGTTTTGTTAATATTCAGTAATTGTAAATCCTCTGTTTTCTAGTACATTGGGAAAATACATGTTTACCAATAAAGGTTGCTGTGGAATAAGTATTTTATTCCCAGAGGGATAAAGCTGCCTTTCCTTGTAAAATGAAGTTTTAGATGAAAGTACGGATTTAGAGGAAAATAACAGATTGTGTGGGACAGTATTTTCCCCTCACCTGGACAAACAGCTTCTTAGATTCGTATTGCATATATTACAAAATACGGAGAGAAGCTAGTCAGAGGAGCCTGGCTTGAGCTTGAGTGCAAGGCAGTACAGACTCCATAGGTCTGTGCCTGAGCTTTATTAGAAAACTTATTTGCATGTAGAAGATTCACAGTTCACGGGGTACCCAGCAAGTACATCTTCTCATCCTCTTATAGGCTTAGTGGAAATAATAGAAAAATATATTTGCCGCAGTGAAGGTAGAACATGACATCAGAAATGCAAACGGTTCCATTTGTTGTGTTAGATCTCAATAAGGGGTAAAGGAAGACAGTTGTTGAGGAGAGAACCTGTCTGGCAAATGCCATGCTTTTTACAAAAATTTATGTAAAGAATCACAATAGACAGTAGTGTTCATAAAAATATTGCTGCTTGCTATTGTGCTGAAACAGGGCTTCAAATTATATTCAGTAGAAACGTACCAGAAATATTCTTACAAGGCTGCTTCTGTAAGAGCTGTGCACAGGAGACTCGGGTTCCCTTTTTATGTATTAACTAGTTTTACATTAAATATATTCATTTATTTGTATAGCTCTGAGTGTAAGAGTTGTATTGGAAAAAGTCTAAAAGCCTTCTTTTCATCACCCTGTTTAGATTGACGCATTGGGTAAAAGAAGCAAAGAAGCCGAGGCAGCCTTCTTGAATGTTTATAAGAGATTAATTGATGTTCCAGGTAAGCAAATCATTTCCTTATTCTGAAAAACTGATGGCTGATGTTAGTGTGAGTGCTACTGGGCATTTTTTCTACGTTTGATAAGCTAAATATGAGCAATGGTTTTGCTCTGAAACTGCTGTGCTCCAGCATTGTTTCTAATGGAAAGACCTGTAACAAAGGCACATTTCATGACTTCTCTTAAAACTGTTCATTGTGTTTACATTTTAATGTTTGTATGAATCATTTTGTATTATTAGAATATTGTGTGATTCTCAGAAATTTATGAGAGGGTTCAGACATTTTAAAAAAAAGATACATCTTGAAGCTTCATCAAGAAGCAGCAATATTTGTACTTTTAAAGGACAGAGGAAAGTTTTCATACCTTCCAAAAAAAAAAAAAAACACAAAAAAAAACCAGAAACCAAAACAAACACTTGCTGAAAAGTAAATCACTACCAAATTTTAATTCTGTTCAATGTAATTTTGATCATAAATTTTATTCAAAGGTGTTTGATGTACATATGTTCTATTTTCCTTTATGTTTGGCATCACAAGTTTCCAGTTAATTTCTTTTTACATTTTGGGAGTTGATTTTTTGTTTTCCCCAATGGAAGATAAATACTGTCTGAAGAGTTTTTTCCTTTTTGCATCTGTACCCAAAGATGAGAGGGAGTTAGGAGTCCAAGTCTCCACTTCCAAGTCTTGGCCTGACTGAGCTGTTGGCATATGACAGTGTGTGTCTGTTATTTTATACTTTTATAAAATGTTGACAGTATCTATCCCTCTCTATATATTGTATTTAAAATACCTCAGGAAAGGTTTTGAGGTATAATTAATACTTGCAAGGGCTCTTACGGCCTCGTTGCAAAGTGCACCCTAGTCTTTACTTGCTGTACCTTCTAGGAGCACATTTCATGCACACTTCAAATAAAAATCAATATTTTAGTGTTGTTTTTTAGGTTAATCATCTTTGGTCTGTGAGTTTTCATTTTCTTGTTTCCCGCTCACAGACTTAGTAACCTTCCGTAGGTGAACAGCTTCCGTAGCGCGTCTGCCTGTGCTGTGGGAAGAGCTGGATAACTGGGGAGAGGCTCCGGACCGCTGCTCGCAGGGCACGGGCAGTTTGCACTGGCACGAGCACTGTGGGCATGGAGCGGGCTCTCACAGCTCTGTTTGGTAAAGGAAGCCCCTCCATGAAAACATACCCAACATACCTGCTCATCCACCGTTCAGTGCTAAGGGGAGAAGCTGTAGCCTCTCCATCTCCATGCTAACACAGCCCAGGGTGCTTGTTTCCTGCCATTATTTGGGAGGCAAGTGGGTTTGATTTCTAATGGTCTGGGTTTTTTCATGACTGAGTAGTCATGTCAAACAAGAGCCGTGTGGGATCCTTTTCGTGCTCTTGTGCAGAGGCTTTTTTGTGAAGCCTGGCATGGTCGCAGGTGCTAGGATTTGAACAGCAGAGTCAGACTGAAGCCTTACAGAGACGGCTGGATGTATATCCCACCCATGCTGTAGGATCTAAATGGCAAGGGACTTTGTCAGTACTACTTCGTAAGAGAAAAGAATTTTCTGTTTCCTTCATTTGCAAGAGCAAAATTTACAGCCCTCCTTCCACACCCACAGTCTCTCTCTTGTCCAGCCTTCCCCTGCGCATGCCTTACGTTATGTGTCAGAGAAATATTTCTTTGATATTCTTACTACACGTAAAAATTTCAGCCTGGCTAAATGGTGAGTGCGATGGAGTCTGTGGGATTAGAAATATCTACAGGTTTTAGTCCAGGCTCTATCTGCAGGATAGAGGCACAGGAGGAGCATACTGGTGTTGCTAAAAGCAAATTCCAGGTTCTCAAGGAGAAGTTGGGCCAGTCTCCTGGAGCTGTATGCAGGCGTAATGAATACTCACTGTTTACAACACATCCTGTAAAGAAAAGGAAAACAGCCACTAGGAATGTATGGCACTGGTATTCATCACGATGGTAGGGCTGGGTTAGCAGATGTAGTTTAGGGGCTTGCTTCATTGTGCTGGGTTTTTAAATTTTCTTTATCATAGGTAGTCTTTTACGTTGGGTATGTATCCATGAAGGGCTTTCCTTCACAAAAGAGCATCATTTATCACGTGTTGGTTTTACTCTGTGTGGCTTTACATATCTTTTGACCTGTCCATTTGGTATTTCAAATATTTAGGTATACTTTTAGCTCCGAAATCCTCCTGTTTTCGTTTCGGTGCGAGAAGGGAGCTATGATGTTTTGAGAAAGCTATGACTGGAATGCTGCAGAGTGGTTATTTAGCATTAAGCATCACTGTTACATGACAAGGGTGCAATTTTATCAGACTTCCAATATCCTTTATAGGACCATATAATAATTGCGGCTGAAGTCTAATTCCCAGCAGCCAATTTTATGGTTCTTGAGGAAAGCATGTATTCCTCTCCTCAATAATAATGTGCACACTTTATATAATTAAAAAGGGCTATTTTAATTTTACTGTAAAATGATCTGTATTGAAACTCCAGCTACAGTGCTTTATGGATTCAGCTAAGTTTAATGATTTTCTTTCCTGACTTGACTAGAGTTTTCACTCAGGCTCACCAGTAAGGAATTTGTGGGAAGGGTGGTATTTTACTTGTAAATTTTCCTATATACATCAGGGGTTTTCTCTTTAAAAGACAAACCAGACCTTTTCATATCTCTCTCTAGCTTTATGATGCTGTTAAAATAGCATTATCATCGGTTTGTGCTGCAGAATTTATCCTTCCTAAAGGAAAGTACATGTCAAGGAAAAAAATTTTGGTTTATGTACATTTATATAGCTGTAATTCTCACTCAGATCATTCTGTCTTGCTTGAGACTGAACCTTTTTAATTAATGGAATTAATTTTCTCATTTAATTGCCTTATTTTCAGTATGCAGTAGAGAGCTAGAGAAAAGTGAACGCTGCCACATGAATTGCACTAATCAACACGGTTGTCACAACTTACCTTTAAAAATAATGTGAATATGTTTATTTTGAAGTAAAGGAAGGTTGGATCTGTATTTTGAGGAAGCTTTCTTCCATCTGTACAAGATTTCTTTCTCTCTAGTTTTATAAAATAAGTGTATTATGTTAGCACCTTTGGCTTTTAGGGTCTTAATCTTGAGAACGCTTCAAGTGAAATTGGAGCCCTGTTGTGTGTTTGGAGGAGCGGGGTTGCCTTGCAGAAACAATATATTCATAATACTGTTTTTCTAAGGCTTTAAAAGAAAAATATGAAGCATTAAAAATAAGAAAAACAAAAAAAATTGTTCTTTTAAAAAAGAATGGTGTTCACTACTTAATTTTTTTAAACAAAACTTCACTGTAATCTTTAAGTAAAATTTAAAATGTGGAGACCTAGAGTGAATGCCAGATGACAGTATCTGGGTAAACTGGTTAAATGGAGTTTCTCTTTGTGCTCTGTCTTGATTTCTGTGAAATCACTGCACAATGCCACAGTTGGACTTGCTCAGTTGTCAGTATTGCTCCTGTTAAGCACAGCTCCTGCACAGTCACAGAAGAAACAATTCTGCCTTTAAACAGAAAATCTGCTATCGTGATGTGGCACCAATTAAACCGAATTTGGGTTCAGTGGCTGTTCTCCTGTACAAGCCGATTGTGTGTCTTTTGCACTACTGCTAAGAGTTCTCCACCCAAGGGGAATGCCTGAAAGCTCATCTCCTTCCCACTTCTCCCTGTACCCCCGGGGAAAACCTGGGTGCCCGGGCTGTGGGCGCAGCAGTGCCAGCCCCGGCCGTGCTCAGGCACCCTGCGCTCGCCGCTCCTCCTCCGCAGGATCCGCGGCTTTGCTCAGACGTAGTCCTGACTCCCTCTTGCTCCTCCATCATGCCATTCCACTTGCGGCACAGTATTGCGTCTCGGTTGTACCCTGTACAAATATAATAGAAAAACTGTTGTGCTTTTCCAGCATATACGTGTTTGAGAATCAGGGTAGGTTAACGCTAAATATTTGTGCTGTTTCCTGGGGACTGTGCAGCCTTCTGGGGCTGAGCCATAAATGGTATTCCTATCTGCTTAATGGGAATTTTCTCATCAAGAAACTAAATGACTCTTACTGTGTAAAAGAGAATGTGTGTGTGTATTGGAGACTCTTCACAGGTCTCTGTTGTGACCGGATTTGCCATAAGTTTGGTGCTGTATAATGTGCATGACGTGTTTTTTAGCTCAAAGGACCTGCTGCCTAAGGAAGTGTATAATAACAGGGTAAAAAAAAAATATTATTTTTTTTTGTTTTTAACGTACCCTTTAAATTAATTAGCAATTTAATTAAAAACAATAACAGTGAAAGATGGCTGAAGTGGAAATTTTATCTTTCCCTTATTCCTTTCCATCATAAATTGCACGCCCTGCCACGGGGCTGGGTGTTACTAAGGGCTTTGAAGGAGGAGCAGCCTAGTTCCGAGGGAGTTCTCCACACACCCATCATTACCTGGAGTATATTTGCTTACAGATAATCACAGTTCAGCCTTGCAAATTCAAGCTGCCCTGCACGAGGTTTTCTTTTTCCAAGGAATGATTTAGCTGAGGAAACACAAACTTCTTTTAAAATAAGTAATCAGTAAAGCACAAAATAACTGTTAGGGACTGACTTCTAAAGGCAGCAATGACAATTTGTTTTCTCACCCATGAAGAGAGCTGCTTTCCTTCACCACGGCGCCCATGCTAGCGGCAGTGTGAGATGCAGTGCTTACTGCTATCACTCCATTGCCTTGTGATTATTTACAACTTAGCAACACTCTCCAGACTTGTATTGCTGTTTCGGCTAAGAGAAGACTTCATTTAAAATGTATTTGACCAATATTCTGAGGTTAAAGGTGGTACAAGAGAAAAACAGGTTTGATTTTTTTTTCAATGTTCTGAGGTTAAAGGTGATACAAGAGAAAAACAGGTTTGATTTTTTTTTTTTCCTGAAAAATTATCTGCTGCTTAAGTTG